CCCCAAAACCCCAAAACCCCAAAACCCCGCATACTATGAATCTAATGGAAATGTTCTAATATAAATAATTTATTCAAATTAATTTAAGGGATTCCTGTGTTTACTGACGGCTTTTTTCTTCAATATAGAGTTCATCCAGCTTTTGAAATGGAAATTTATTTTTTTGCTACTATGGTTAATCTTTTGATGATTATTTTTATTATTTGAAATCAAAGAAATATGTCGTTCCACACATTAGAAATGCTGCAATGCACATTATTATCGTATAAATCAATCTAGCTTTCTAATTCTTTATATAAGTTTCAATAAGTTAGAAAATAAATACACCAAAAGCCTCTACAAGATTGTAAACTGAATAAGGCTCTATATTGTTTTCAAACTCAAAGCCAAGCATTTGCATAGTATGTGTATTTACACTACTATCCTGAAATCCCCATAAAAATGTCATAATAAACGTCAACCAATTATAATCCAAAGTTTGTATTTAAACAATCGTGACTATACCCATAATAGTTATAATCAATAAGTTAAATAGCACAGCATATTTGGTATTTACTCTGTCTATAATCTAACCTATGCTTAAACCTCCTGTCATTTCACCAAATCCAAAAGCTACCATAGCTATTAGAGCCTTCTTAAGTTTATCATTTTCAGTTAAAGTTTTATCATCAAATGAATCATAAATAATGGGAGTAATCATACTAGAGTAATATGAAATTGACATCCCAATCCAAAATAATTGCGGTAGAAATACCAGCATTCTTTTTGATGTCATGATTTTGTAGGTCATCTAGACATTATAAAAGAATTTATTATCCATTTAAGCATCAATTTACTTTTCTTGTTAAGAATCATTAAGGTCGCCTTTTACATTTATTGGCTTCTATAAAAACATGAAACTTATTGAGGCAACTACTGCCAATGCTCCCATAAAAATAAAGAAGAATTCAAGGTCTTGTCCAATGACATATGCTCCAACTAAGTTACCTACTACTTAAGATGACATATAGAAAGTCCAAAAATAACTAAAGTAAAATCCTTTCTTAGCCTCAGTTGAACAATCACTAATATACATGCCAAGAGCAGTCCAAAGTATTGCTGCACCTACTCCGTTTATAAAAGCAGAAAATAGTACTATGAAATAAATGAATCCATCCGAAAATATGAGCAAGTTACGCTGATCAGGGTACTTCTACTTAAATACAGGGAATAAATATGACAGTACCCATATGGCATTACACATCCCACCAATAACCATTGTAATTTTATATCCTAGCCTTTTTAAAACAGCACTAGATATCATGCTAGTAAATCCCAGGACAAGGTAGACAGTCCCCAATGAATAATTACCCAAATCCTCAAATCCAAGATTTTATAGAACCTAGGCTGATAGATTTTGGCATGTGTTAAAAGCAATAAAAAGCACCAAGAAGCCGATAGAGCATTAGGTAGCTTTTCCAAAATTTTTGTAATTATCTGAACTCATTTTATTACAAAAACCAATTAAGAATAAATCTATTTATTATGAAAATTAAGCATAAATGTCAATTGTTTTCTTAATAAATTTACATTTCTTTGTTTTTTCATGAAATCTACAGAAATTTACTTCAACGGGGTTTTGGGGTTTTGGGGTTTTGGGG